TGTCACCGTAACCTACCCTCTATGAATTTGCCGTGTCTCATACCTGAACCCATACACATACCAGTACCCATACTCGTACCCATGCAACTTAGCTAGTCTCTGTTATCTTGATCTGCTGGATACTTGTAGGTTTGTCTTTAAATTCTAAATCACAAAACTTTAATTGTATATTCCAAAACATGAATGTTCTAAGAAGAATTATACACAATGTGTATGATATGTGGATTATACGATTCTGCTACACTATTTTTTTGGCAAGGTATATTCCATAATTTAATATTTGATTTTGCTTTCAGTCAAACTGGTTCTTAATCCCAACTCATGGAAAGCCCCCATTAATCAATACTTACTACATTCAAAGGGTAATCTAAATAAAACCTCATGGAATAATCTATAATTATCCCAAGAAGCAAACAAAAGAGCTACTCCGATCCATAACAGGTGGTTCTGATGTGAAACTCATGATTACTGTAAACAGGGTATTCATTTCTTGAGAAGTAAATTAAAAATTTTCTCATCAAGCTCAAACAATAGATATCCTTCGTCAAAGACTCAAAATCAACAACACAGAATTGTATTCAAGACAAGAAGTTAAAGTAGATGAATTACTTTACCCAAATAAGTCAGCATGAGTTGGGATTACAGGCACGAGATAGTTCCCAAATGGAGAGTCAAAGCCTCTAAAGTTACCAAGCCATCCTTCATGTTGTGCTTGTGTTACTGCGTACATCTTGGCCTGCTGAATCTTCAAATCTTTTACCCTAGCTTGTTCAGTGGGAACCTGCCAATTGATCCTAGCAATTAAAATGCAAGAACATAGGGAAGGATATAAAACTTCAACAAACATACCGATGTATTGTGTAATGTTGTTTTCCCCTTATCAGTAGCAGCCTGTGAGGGGAGAGTCCTGCTTGAAAATAAAAAAACAGATGCATTCATAACAAGTTGAATGAAAAATAAATGAAGCATCACATGATTGCGACATGACTCGTGGTTGTGGTTTATGAACAAGTTGTCCCAGCAGAACTTGGTTCAAAACAATTAATTTTAAGCTCACCACGACAAAGCTCAAGGAATTTCAAGCTACCATATGAACTATTTTAGCATTAGTTATACACATGTGTACGTTACCTGGACTCGGGTACGAGTATCCAATACGGGTGCGGATCCGAGTGTCCGATACGAAATTTCTGAAAATTTTGGATAAGGGGACACTGTCCTAAATTTTGACATGGGTACGAGGATACACTTTTAATAATAGTTTAATTTATTTAATGAAGTACAAAATTCCATTCCTCTATCCTGTATACATTTTTACTTACATCAAATATTTATTGTAAAACCCAAACCCAAATCCAAAAATCCAAACCCAAAAACTCAAACCCAAAGCCCAAACCCAAAATCCCAAACCCAAACCCAAAACCCAAACCCAAAACCCAAAACATAAAACCCAAACTAAAGTAAACTATGTAACCCTAATTCTCACTCACGCGATGCCGCCACGAAATTTCCATCGACCCGTTCTGTTCCTCGTCAAAGCTCGAACTCGTCGAAGCCTCTCGGATCCTCGTCTTCAACCTCCGAGCTCGTCTTCAACCTCTGTCGAACAGTCGAAGCTTCGTCTTCAACCTCCAAGCTCGTCTTCAATCTCTGTCGAACAGTCGAAGCTTCGTCTTCAACCTCCGAGCTCGTCTTCAACCTCCGTTCTGTTCCTCGTCGAAGCTCGAACTCGTCGAAGCCACCTCTGCCTCCTCCATCGACGATGAGGAGCCATCTCCTCCCCCTCCTTCGTCGACGACGAGCAGCCGCAGCCCCCCCCGCCGTATCCAGTGCCAATCATCGTATCCGACCCGTATTTTGTACCCGGATCGGTGTCGGGCACTGTTATAAATAGCAGTAAATAGCCCCGTAATAGCGGCGCTAATAGCGTTAGCGGTCCCTTCCCGCGACGCTATCGCCCGCTATGCTATCGCGCAATAGCGGTGATATTTTACGGAATATGTTTGTTCGCAAAAACGGTCAATAGTGTGTCATTACGGTAAATAGTGAGCGATTGCATTCGAAATTTACTTTTTGACTGCTATTTAAAAGTGGTTTGAGACTTATTTTTTTAAAATTAAACTCAACCCTTGACTATTGCATTCCACCGTCTCCTGTGATTTTCAGCATACTCCCGCCACCTCTCATAAACTTCGGCACCTACCTTGATACTTCCTCTTACCTCCTTCACTGTGAGCTTCTCTTAGGGCAGTCCTGTCACCGTTAAGCTCTTCTTCTCGAAGACGACGACTTTTTGACTCCTCCAGTTATCTTCGGTATTACGTGATGGTTACATGTCTATTCATGTTTAAGATCTCTTTAAATCATCCAATATATGTACTTTTAGATTTCTTAGATTTTTCTTTAATTTTTTTAGTATTTATACATATCTAAATTAGACCGCTATTTGACTTTGCGTTTTTTACCGTTATTTTGTTGCAATAGCCCGAAATAGCCTTAATGGCGCCTCACCGCTACGCGACGCTATCCGCTATCGATAACCTTGGTGTCGGGTCGTATCGATGCCGGTACGACGGTCAAACCGCTGTGTCCAAGTAACGTAGGTTTAGATATATTACTTTCTCGGTATTTAAAGTTTTGCAGTTAGGACATGGATTGTAGAAACAAAGTGTTCTCCAAATTGTTAGCTTAACGCAATTATTTTTTATCACAATGATTATGAAGCCCACTTCAAGGCATCCAGCTTGACTTAAATATTGAATAAATAATAACTCTCTCATTATCTGGAGTTTGGAATTAACAACCTGTGAGCTTAAAGGTTTATCTGTGACTAGAACTAAAAGCATCTACACTTTACAATGCTTAGACGTATTCAAATCAACCAAGCAACAACAGCAACAGCAGCAACAGCAGCAACAATAACAAAAAAAAAAAAGAAAAGAAAAAAGAAGACAAATCTAATTTCAAAATTGGCGAGTGATATAAGCAGTTTCATATAGATTCGCTAGAAAAATGGGAGCTCACATGAGTTCATATTGTTTTGCAGCAAACAAGCAGACCATGCCACTTGTACAAGCATGAATGCAGATCGATTAAGAAACAAGCTCAATCAAGATAAGCTTGACTAGATATAAAGATGAGCTATAATGGCCTCATTAGGTTCATTTCAAGTTCAATCATAGCTCAGCATTCCCCATAAATGAAGTCTTATGTCCTTTTCCAAAGCAATAGAAACCAGAGGCATACGACACTTCAAAGAAGGTAATTAGGAGATTACCCATGTCTGTTGGGGAATATATGGAACCACTGAGTTGTAAAAGGCTGCTATTGTTTATAGTGATATACTATTTCATTTCTTCACTCTTGGCAATAGAAGCAGGAATAAATGAAAGAAAGCATAAAGAGATAATAATACATCAGTCATGTTGGCAACAACAAAAAATTGTAAGAAAGAGGAAAAATGATGTTATAAAAGAGATGTCCTCTATTTCTTTTTTTTATGGTGAAAAGGTAGCCATACTTGAGTTTTTTTTTCCCGTTAAGTTCCCTAACATCGTTCTCATTGTTATCATCAATTAAACATTCTCCCACTCGAACGGATTCATCTTTGGCCTGCACTTCTACAATCAGAACGTCCTGTGCAAGAATTTATGAAAAAAAACATGATGTGCTGGAAACATATGAAGCACAGATAAAGCCATTCTGACATGAAAATGATACGTCATGCTGATGCATAACAAGCTACGTATTGAGCAACAGTTAAATGGTGAAAGAACTGATACACGATGGCTGATCAGGATTCAGTTTTTACTGTCAGCAATAGAATAATACAAGCATTTATCTGCATATCGTACATAGTAGAAATGACAAATCAAAAGCAGTTGTATTAATAATTTTACCCTTTTAATCTATATACATCAGGTTATTAGTTAAAATCTTTTTTAGCTATCCACGGAGCTTTCTCAACTATAGAACTGGAGATACGGAACATTGGGCCTTTTCAATTTCGATGGTTCGTTCAATCATGGAAGTAGCACAGGAGGTTGGAAACATTATCATCCTATATTCACAAGGGTAAACTTATTTTTCCAAGAGTATGCAGGGATGAGAGTTCACTTACCAAAAATGTTGGGTGCTCGGGGTGGGATGTAGAAACCGATCTTTGTTCTTGAAGCGATGAGGATTTGGTTTGAAGGAAGTGCACTTGGTATCATAACCGCTATGAAAAGGAGAAGGCTTGGAAGGGTATAAACCTTCTAACAGGTACTAGGAGTTTACTCGTGATCTTCTTAGTAGTCAGAGAAACTAGGGGCCTTGCTATCGACCGTAGAGTATGATTTCGGTAGCATGCTCAACGAACTTCAAAATCTTATTAGATAACAAGATGGGCAGGGACTAGGGAGATTTTAGGACAAAAAGATATCTAATGCTTAAATTGTCACGTACCAATAAAAAGAAGAAAAAAAGACTGAAAAAATAATAATAAATGCGGACAAGGGTCATTGCTCTCGTTGTATAAAAAATAAGGTTGCTCCACAAGTATCAAATTACATGGAGGACACTTCAAGACATTTAACCCCATCTGTCATGAGAAATTTCAGCAAGTTGCTTTTCGCTCATGTAAATAAACCACGAGATTGGCCCTCTTAGTAAATTCATCTTTCCTCTAGATCCTGACATCATCATCAAAAGTAACCATAGAATTGTTTAAGATAATTCTTCAGAATTATCCTGTTCATATCCAATGTGACTTCAAGTAATTGCTTCTAATTGGATGGTTAAGGCATACTCAGTAGAAATTTTTAAATACTTGATCAAAATTCATCATAACCCTCTAGAGACTTCAAAGGCATCCAGACCCCAAAACCCAAAACCCTAATCACAACTCAGCAGAACCATCAAACTCCCAAGTATTAACCAATTCGTGTCATTAAACCCTAATCTGCGTGATTTCCAAAATGTCGGTGTGATGGGAAATTAGCAGAGAGAAATTGAGCATATACCTTCGATCTTTGGCTTCGATCTTTCTTCTCTTCGGAGCGGGTTTAGTCTTCTCCATTGCTGCACCCAAAAATAGCAGCTCGAACTCTCTCCAATATAACACTCTTTTATTAGGCTATAAAATTACCCTTTTTTCTAATGGGCCCAACCCAAATCTACATTTTGAATCAGGCCCACCTAATATTGGTCCGACTGGTTGTCGCCCGGAAACATCATTTTGTTTCAAACTTTCAATGGCTTATTTGCATATATACCCCTTGCATCATGGGTATTTGCAGAGCTACCCCATAAATCTTCTCGTATTTGCAAGACTATCCCTCAAGTTATCAATTTCGGGGAAAAAAATACCCCTGATTAAAAAATTTATTGCTTTATAATAAATTTTTTTACCTTGCAGTTATAAATTAGCATATCAAAGCTAATAATTGATTGATTTTGAGTTATTTTTTTCCAAATTTGATGATTTGAGTTGTAGTTTACAAATGCAGAATTTTGAAGGGTGGGGAGGAGGGTTTTGGGTTGTGTATTTGAAAATAAAAAAGTGGAGATGCAGGGTATAGATCCCTTTCCATTGAGCTACACCACTAGTTGTTAAAGAACCAATTATTTGACAACATTATAATGAAATATAAAGAGGTTTACACAACACTATCATTAAAAAAAATTATACTTGAGAAAAAAAATACTACAAAACTTCTAAATCAGCATAAAAATATAACATGGCATCAAAAAATTATATGGTTTTTTATGGTAATAAGCGAAAGATCATGCTAATTATCTGACAATTATAAAACTCATGATGATTTAGCAACTTTATGTGAAAATTCATTATAGTTTTGTAAAACATAAATGTACTGTCCATTGTACATAATTCTTGTAATTTTTGAAAGATTGATGCTCTCCTACTACTATGAAAGATCTTGTACCTTTTCCACTAATTCTTTATACGTTACGGTATTTTTATATAAACATAGATTTTTGTAATTATTATTATTATTATTATGGGGCGATTCTATCCTAGAAAAAACCTGTGAAACGCCATGGATATTTTACTGAATTTTGATAAAAGTTAAAAATAATTGTGTTGGGCTCTTCATTAGACCCCCATAGATCTGCAAAATTACGCTTTGGGCTTTGTCTTCATTCTGACTTTCATATGCTGGTCTTCGGCTGAGCCACACATACATGATCCGATACAGTTTATTTATTTTTAGAAAATAATTGTATAAAACTACTGTATTAAGATATTTGCTTCATACTAGCTAATTTATCTTACTATTTATTCAGATATATAAATAATTTTTCACATACACAAGCATTTACTACTTATATATGCCGATTTTGATGATCTTAAGCAACGGAGACCCCTATAATATAAAATAGCCCATGCAATTGTAAACGCCACATAAATAAAGGATAATCGTGTGATAAAAAAGAACGAACGCCTACGAAAAATAAGATGCCTAACGTGGTACACATTACCAACATGCGGTCCTAGTATATCATAAAGTCATATATATGGACAAAAACTAGTCGGCACTCGGCAGGCCTATCATGAGCCCAAATCAATGACTTAGGCTATTTAGGTGGTCTGGTCCAACAAAATGGTCCACAGTCTACTTCCGCGAAAATACAAACTCTTTGACTTAGACGGATTGGTCTGGTCCAACCTGAGTGCTAGGCCCTGTGGGCCTAGTGGGCCACCCACTATTGGGGTTGTTGAATGTCGAAATCAAATTCAACGGTCCAAAATCTTTAAACCACTTTCCCTAAATCTAACTCTTGGCTCGTGAGAATTTTGTTTGAAGACATATATCGACTTTTCATGTGTGAATATAGTTTCAATTTGAAAGGAATTAGAAAAGAGTAGTAGATGTACATCTGAGTCTATAACTAAAAACATAAGCTTTTTGTTATTTGCTTTGTATCCAAATCTAAGGGATTGTTTGACAACTCCACCTAAGATGGTTTTAGGAGCTGTTTGATTTGTGGATTAATTTAGATGCGTGAGGATTTTGAAAAAAAATCTATGATTAAAATCGTATTTGTTTGTAATGGATATTCAAGAGGATTTGTATGAGGGATAAAATACAATCAAATTTTGTTTGATTGTCCATAAATTTTGTTGTTTATATGCGACTAAATTCACAAATTCAATTGACACCAACATAATTTCAGGGAATTATATTTAATGCATTTATCCTACGTGGCAACTCTAAATCCGTGTTGAAAATATATCAAATAAATAATGCATTTGCTAAAAATTCATGTTTTTTAACTTGTGGGTCCCATTTTCAATGTGAAGTGCACGGAAACAACCAGCCCCTAAGTGGAGCAAAAGCAATTTAAGTCAAGATCATAGTTTGGCCACAAAAAAAAAAAAAAAAAAAAAACCAAGATCATAGTTTGGCCACAAAAAAAAAAAAAAAAAATAGCCTAGACCAAAAATTCAAAATGTTCATGTTATGTTAATTTTCGGCCTTAAACTAGTGTTGTTTTGGTCCAATCCCCAATTCCTCGCCGGTCCAAAACTAGACTATTTTAGGCCGAAAATGGCTCAGTGATAGTCGCCAATCTGACCCTAAGGTCCGCCTAACTCCATAACGGATTTAAATTTAAGAATATTGGTCGACATGGTAAATCCATCATTAAAAGTTTTATACTTTCGTGATAAGTCCAAATACCGTCCAAGAAAACTTCCAAAAACTAGCAAATTATTATAACATAAAGCAGTATATTCTTCATTTCTTATCATACAAATTTCAAAAAAAATCTCTGGTATATAAGTTAGACCCGTCGCCGTCGGTATCAAAAATATCAATACATTAATCAGCTCAAGTGCATCAACCGCTAGATTCCTCTCCGACATAAAGAAAATTAATTTAATCTGCTTCCTAAACTGCAACAGTTGCTTGAATACGGAATCGCTTTCTATTAATTTTCTCCAATGAGCAAAGCCAAACAAAGAAAAAGGAAAATTGGATTATGCTATGGACGCTAGTCTTGGGCAAAAAGCCAATAAGGAAGACATATTCCATAGAAAAGTGCAATAAATTCTAGCTATCTCCATGTTTAATTAAGGTCATTGGTATTTGTTTCTTGTTACCTAGTTAAGCTTAGCTAGTTAATTTTAGGTTTGGTATTGGTCTCACCAAATTACGAGTAGGAATCAAGCGATGTGGACAACGACATAAGAATTGAACTAGCAGAACGTGGGAATGCACCAAACTAGAGCCAATGCAAAGGACAAGGTTGTATGTGCTACTATTTTATAAGTATATTAAATTAGGGGTTAATGCATGTACTTAAATAGTTTAATTTGTCATCTTGATGCTTTAGTTGTTAGGTTTAAAGGTGGATATAAACACCCTTTTGGATTTACTAAAGGGACAGTACTAATTAAATTAATTTTCACTTCCCAGTGCGTATACTAATTAAATGAAAAAGAACAATGAAACATAAAAAAATTAGTCATATACATGGCAAAAAGATACGACCTCGGCACATTGTGGAGCCAGTTCATATATACAACTCTTGCAGCTCCGGGATTTCTCTTTTGATCCAAGCAAAAAGGAAATTTATGACACATATCTCGGAGGTGAACATATATACTTTGTTGTGTTCTGTTTCTCAATTGTAATAGATTAGTTAGAAACAAGGTTTTCTTTATTGTAAATAATAACATAGGAATAAAGCCTCAACTTGTCCCAGAGTTAGCTTTTGGATTATTGCACATGTAGAGGTGTCATGAACGGAAATAATTATTAATATTTATCGCTTGCCTTTTCTGATTGTTAAAATATAAAATTATATATAATCCTCACCCTTCATCACAACTTTAAAGTTTTGATGTAGTGGCGGAAATTTTAAGAAGAACTTAATGTAACTTAAAGGTCCAATTATCAAGTTTATCTGGTAGGAAACATATATATCACTGATTTTGGAAGTTTATATACAATTAATCTGGTTCATGACTCTATCTGTGTGTGTGAGAAGAAAAGTAGTGGAAAAAGCTGAATTGCACATTTTACTAGTTTTTGATAAATTTAAAAGAATATGCTTAATTAATATAATTGATAAGCATGGTCACACATACTTATATAGGCTAAAGACT